GCAAACTATAAAAGTATATAACTACACATGTCCAAGTTTTAAAGGAAGGCTTTGATTCATGCTGCTAAATCATTAGTATTACTTTAACATTTGTCATTACATTGAACTTTATTAATTATCATTTGGTGTATTTGTGGCACACTTCAGTTATTATTCTTTTTTATAAAGTTCCCTTCTGGCAAAAATGTTCTAACTTACAGAGTTAGTGTACGTACAAGCTTAATGTGTGCTTTTTTTTTATCATATGCATGACCAAAAGTAAGTTATAGCTAGATTCAAAGCCAATCACCACCTCACATTATTTAACATAGAGTGGTTTTCATATTGAGTGTCGTAAAACCAAAACCAAAGTAATCGCTCAGCCAGACATCACAAAGGACGCTGACAATACAGGGAACCAGTCAAAACTCGAAGTGAGGTTTTACTTTTGATTGGATGAAAAAGTGGCATGATCGAGTAGCACAGTGACACAAAACCAATTTATTAGTTTTTACACTCAGTTGAAAACCACTCTATGAGACCATCGCTGACTGTGACCCCATCCTGACTCCCTTTGGCCTTTGACTTCAAAAAGTAATCAGCGATTGTGATTGTTCTGTGCACTATGAGCAGAACATTTTTCACTTTTTTCACTTCAAGTAAAAAGCCAGTGTTTGAAAATCCACTTCATACAAATTGTACATTACCCCACCTAACAATCATGTCTTGAGACTAGCTCAATATTATGGCTGAAAGACTTACCGGCACTCAATTTTTCAAATATGTTGCATACTTTTCCGCTATGGTAGATTCAAGAGACCCAGATTGAAAAAATGCATAGTGTACAAAATGTTCCTCCCTTTTTTTTCCAGAAACAGGGAATCTCCCTCCCCTCTGATGACCTGCTAATCAATTCCCTTAGATCTGCAACTGAGTGACACTGGTCATGAGATTTTTTTCCCTCATTAGGGTCGAATGGCTAAGCTGACGTTAAGAGCTGTAAAGGAGAAAGCTTGTGGTGACAAGGAAAATAAGAAGGATAAAGAAGGAACTGCATTGTCACCGACACAGAAACTTCCAAATGATATTTTAAAGAGCCCTGTTACTCCAGGAAATTTCAAGAACCTGAAGCAGCAAAAGCTTAGTTTTACTGAATATGAGAGAACAGAGGTTTGCCATGAAAATGGAACAGATAAAATTACACCACCATCAAAGAAAAGAAAACAAAGCACTGCAGAAACGTGAGTCCAGCCCCCAGCTAGTCGCATTGATAGTTTAAAAACATAATATTGCTAGTACAAAGTGTCAACTGATACTAGTACAGTACTGATAATGTGGTTGAAAGGATCAGTATAGCAGGGCAGGGAAAAAAAAAATTAAAATCCACTTGCCCAGTGGGCCAGTAGATTTCAGCTTTCACTTGCCACCAACTTGTATATAATTACCCAACATGCCAAGTCAACTTCAGAATACGGCGGCAAATATGTTGATCAGAGGATGAACACGAACAAAGTATGCATGGATTTTAAATCAATCCATGCTTTCTAACTGAAATTTTTCACTCATCTTGAAGGTTTAGGTTTTGAAATTATCATTTTTCAAGCTGACATCTTCACTCAGACTCACAAGACTACTGAAGCTAATTTCACATGCCCACCAGGTCACTGAACTTCTACATGTATTTTCACTTGCCCAAGGGCAAAATTTACTTGCTTCAGGCATTAGGACCTGGGTTTTTTCTTGCTATGAGTATAATGAATACAATACAATTATAGTAAGTCCGCTGATATTGCTTTTCTGTTGGCTAACAACAGTGATGATTATATTGGTGTTCAGTCAATCAAAATTATACTACGTTATTTTTTATAGTTAAAGCAAATATTTTTTGTACAAATTTTATAGTACAGTGTGAAAGTCACCCATTTCCAAATTGATTTGTTCCTATAGCAACTCCAGGATTTCATGGCCAATATACTTGGTCTGTTATACTCTCCATTTTGAGTGAGATGACTGCAGGTGCAAGGGACAAGATGGGTAAATAGGAGAACCTGTTCGACATTTTTTTTTCTCCTAAGTGCTTGCACCTGTGCTTTGTTTCCTTGCAGGAGTACTCCCTGTGTGTGTCAGTGTCTGGCTAAGTCTCAAGAGAAAGCAATCAGCTTTCTGAGTCAAGAGCTAGTTGATGATCATGTGCTAGTGATGAACCAGCAGAAAAAAAAANCAGAGGTTTGCCATGAAAATGCAACAGATAAAATTACACCACCGTCAAAGAAAAGAAAACAAAGCACTGCAGAAACGTGAGTCCAGCCCCCAGCTAGTCGCATTGATAGTTTAAAAACATGATATTGCTGGTGCAAAGTGTCAACTGATACTAGTACAGTACTGATAATGTGGTTGAAAGGATCAGTATAGCAGGGCAGGAAAAAAAAATTAAAATCCACTTGCCCAGTGGGCCAGTAGATTTCAGCTTTCACTTACCACCAACTTATATATAATTACCCAACATACATGCCAAGTCCACTTCAGAATATGGCAGGAAATATGTTGATCAGAGGATGAACACGAACAAAGTATGCATGGATTTTAAATTAATCCATGCTTTCTATCTCAAATTTTTCACTCATCTTGAAGGTTTAGGTTTTGAAATTATCATTTTTTAAGCTGACATCTTCACTCAGACTCACAAGACTACTGAAGCTAATTTCACATGCCCACCAGGCCACTGAACTTCTACATGTATTTTCACTTGCCCAAGAGCAAAATTTACTTGCTCCAGGCATTAGGACCTGGGTTTTTTCTTGCTACGAGTATAATGAATACAATTATACAATTATAGTAAGTCCGCTGATATTGCTTTTGTGTTGGTTAACAACAGTGATGATTATATTGGTGTTCAGTCAATCAAAATTATACTACGTTAGCCTAGTGATAACAACATTAATATATTTTTTTATAGTTAAAGCAAATATTTTTTGTACAAATTTTATAGTACAGTGTGAAAGTCACCCATTTCCAAATTGATTTGTTCCTATAGCAACTCCAGGATTTCATGGCCAATATACTTGGTCTGTTATACTCTCCATTTTGAGTGAGATGACTGCAGGTGCAAGGGACAAGATGGGTAAATAGGAGAACCTGTTCGACATTTTTTTTTCTCCTAAGTGCTTGCACCTGTGCTTTGTTTCCTTGCAGGAGTACTCCCTGTGTGTGTCAGTGTCTGGCTAAGTCTCAAGAGAAAGCAATCAGCTTTCTGAGTCAAGAGCTAGTTGATGATCATGTGCTAGTGATGAACCAGCAGAAAAAAAAAAATGCAGTACTGTCACCGGAATTAAGTGCACTAGACAAAAAATTAATGAAGTCAGATTACCAGTTAACATGTGAAGAGTCCAGTTAAAATAATTCCAGCTGACAGTATGTTTTGCTTAAGTCCTATTCAAGGTCAAAAGCAGAATTCTCAACAAGTTTCAAGTTATGTCAGAAGGAATCCCAGGAAAACTCCAGCAAAAAGTCCTGAACTACTGACACCTCCTGACACTCCATCAGCCGTCAACTTGGATGAGAGTAGGTTGAAAAATAGTGAATAAACATATTTTTGTTATTTGGCATACACTTCTTAAATTTTCATGATCTAGCTAAGACTGTCAATTGGAAGACTCATTTTGATATCTCCAGCTACAGTGTAATAGCTAAGACCCAATTGTAGTCACTAAACATAGGATGGGCGCACAATACACACAGAGAACTAAAAAAGCTACACATGAGAGTATGGCATCTTCCATATTATTTGTGTGTTGTAAGTAGTCTAGTAATGGCAGTCTAGTTTTCACTGTTAGTGTTATTGTAAATGTAGTTTAATAATGAAAAATTTTGCACTGCAATAAGAACATAACATGAAAACACTAACTTCAGGGTGCTAGCGGTAACCTCTAGACTACCACACTCACTGGAGTCCAAATAAGTACAAACATTTACCATTGATACAGGCTACAAAACACCAGACTTTCCCTATCAGGCTAGGCAATACAAGAAAATGTCAACTGGGCAGAGACCTCTGAGAAAGTTTTCTTTTTTAAGGGAAAAATGCAAACATAAGCTTTTTTCGTATTTATCAGTACCATCGGGCAGATGGGGACATGACATGTGTTTGATTGACAAGAGGAAAGCAGTTCTGATTGGAGGCCAGGGAAGCAAACTACAGATGGCTAAAGATTCAGTTTGGACATTGAATATGTCACAAGGTTAGTACATTGAATATGACCCAAAGATCTTCACAAAGATCTCCAAGGATATCCTATTGACAGAGATTATTGAAGACCATTACTAAAACAGGGAATGCTTAATGAATTCTTGCCAAAGATCTTCAATTTGTATCGTATTTCTCTCCATCGAGCCAACACTGAAAGTTAAAAAAAAAACATTCAGAACATAAACTTATCTTCCTACTGAGTACGTTGACTCCTCATTCATGTGTCTTAAGTTACCATGCTTCGTCAATACCCTAACTCTCTACCATACGATGTAAACACACATACAGTAGCCCTACAAACCCCCACTTTGCTCTGATGAAGGCTCATGTGCAAAACATTAGCTGCACAAACTTGCTGTGGTGCTTTATTATTTTATAACATTTATCAACTTCAAGTTCATAAATAGCTAACACAAGTCTTTCACTTGTCCACAGAAGCAGTCCAACCGTTTCCTTAGAAACTATAACTGGTCAAATACACGTAACTTTGTCCTCATGGTCCTCACCATCTAAATTAAGGGAAGCCCTTTGGGGATCTTTGAAGATCCTTAAAGATTTTGTAAGGTTTTCAACAAGGATTTAGTGGTGACCCAATTAAATGCCCCTCTTTAATTGGCATTTAATAAATAAACTCTCAACTTTTTGATGTACTTAATTTTGTGCTTTTTGTATTACCTTTATCCAAGAATGCATCTCATGGAAACAAGAGAGTTGTGAAGGAGGTGGAGCTGATAGACGGATAGGACACACAATCACCTATGACACAGAAAAGAAAGTTTTGTATGTCTATGGAGGATCAAAGACAAAAAGATGGTTCAGTGATGTCAACATTCTAGACCTTCAAACAAATACCTGGTCAGCTGTCAAGGTTTGTTAATTTAATAATATATAGATTTAGCTGAGCCTAAAACTGGAGCTCCTGATTACAATAAATTAACATGGCTTGAGCCTGCAATTCAATTACAGGGCTCAACACTAACTTTTCAACTTACTAGCCTAGTGGCTAGTGATAACTTAGATGTTACTAGCCAAAAAAAATGTTTTTACTAGCCAAGCGTTGAGGTTGGCTACCTTACTACACGAAATTTTCGCGACATGTTTATTTCATGGTTTGGGGGTGTGTATATTTTGTGACACTTNTTACTATTTGTCTTAATTAGCATTTTTGTCTACTTATTATTCAACTTGCTTTGTAATCATTCAACTGAAGATGACAGAAGTTCTGTCGAAACATGTTTTGTAAACTTAAAAACTTGGTCGTTTTCCTTAAAATATTAAAATGTCCATGGAATTATCTCTTCCTCGAAGCTCACGGTTTTCCTTGAGCTTTGCTCTCAGTAAACTGTTTCCTTCTCAGAACAGATGATGTCTGCAGACAAATATCTGAGCGTATTTTTGTGTCATATGGAGGCTATTGTTTAGTTATATAATAATTATTATATAATTTAGCAGTGTTAGAATCAAGCATTGTCTAAAAATTCTTCCTCAGGGACATTGACTTGCACTACAGTTAAGACCAGTGACAGTCTCACCCCACGTGCAGGACATGTTGCTCTCTGTTTACCTGTAGAGAATGAAACGAATAACAAAGAAGAAATTGCTGTGTTTGGAGGCGGTGACAATGCCGGAGGATATTTCAATGATCTTGTTATCTTTTCACCTAGTTATAATTGCTAACATAAAGTAAAAAAGTAGTGTTTGAGTCAAGATCTAGAGTTAATTTGATAGTTTTTAATGGTTCCTAAAGCAAAATTAATGAGTAAGTGTATTCTAAAAACGTCTTCATTTTCAACTTTTTTCAGTACAACCCTATTTTTTAATAGTACCATAAGCCGTTATCCAGTTGCCACAGTCAATTGGTATCATGACTTCATATCAGATGATGGTGTGCTAATCATTCCTGGATTATATCAAATATATCCCACCAAAATTTACCTGGTGAGATACAACACCAGAATTCTCCTGTTGTTAAGATACAACAACAACCAGACATATCAGACGTAAGGTACAGACCAAGGAAGTATTTTCATCTGTATATAGACCTTTTTCCTTGTTACTCAGAAGTCATTTTTAAAATTATTATACTTTCTGGGTTGCAACTCCATCCCTGGGTTTCTTGACTTACTTAAGACCCCATTTATGTGGTCTCTGATAGTCAAGACAACCATTTATATGATCTCAGAAAGCCAAAACAACCCTCCCTCCAAGGCAACTTTATCACAAGTTTATGAGAAATGATTGTCCCTGTTGACTTAGTCAGTGGTCCTGAGAGGTTATCCATGGCCCTAAAATATTCAAATACAGAATTATCCCACTTTCTTTGAGTTTCCTTTGGTCGTTTGATCACTGTGGGCTTTGTCAAGTTAATTTTTTAGTGATATATCGCCGCTGTAAAAGCTAAAATTTGACATTAGGCAAAACTTGCCATGCCATGAGTTGTCCTGTTTACCCCTATGACAGCTTGGGGAATATCAGACTGTTGTTTGACTTCTTAAATGAAACAGTGAACTGTTAAAAGTAAACTGAGGTGAACTTGGGAGGGTTATCTCTGGTACTAAAGACTACATGAATGGGGCAGTAGACACAAGACAACTTGTGGCGAATCTTATATTTCAAAGTAAAACAGGTAGTGGTGCCACAAAATGTACTAGTTCTTGGTCTTAAATTAACTTCCATCGCCACTTTTACAAGTGCCATGTGTACAGTACTTATTGTAGTGTAATACAGGATATAGTATTTAATTACCCAACAAAATGAGCTTTGCACTAGTTAGGGAGTACATTTTTATGTTGTTGTTTGTCCATTAGAACTATATTAAAGATTCACTTATTTGAATTTGGTAAATAGTTCCCTTCATGCTATCAGACATACCTTCAAAAAGGGCCGATAAACGAAAAATTCTGAATTTGAGTTTGTCAAAAACAAGGAATAGAAAACTTATTCCCTCTCCTAACAGAAGGTAATTTAAGAAGTTGGCATGCTGTTCCTAGAAGCATGTGCTGGTTTTCTGGATATGTGGTTGGGACAGCATCCTGCTCTGGGATGGAACTTGGGGGGTTCGGTTAAAAAAGATAAGACAATTGTTATAACATGCTGACTTAGTCTCGTAATGCTGAAATCCATTTCTGAGGACCTCAATTTTACAAATTTTCCAGGGGACTGCCCCCAGACCCTCCTTTGGCAGTCAATATCCCAAATCGCCTTCTCTAAAATCCTGTATCTGTCCCACCTTCTTTGCAGTTTTCTGTCTTGGCCACTTAACTTTCCAACTTCACTGGAGTCAATTTGAATTAATAGTCAGGGTTCCTAAGGCTCCAGGAAAACCTGGAAAGGCCTGGAATTTTATTATGGCATTTTCCAGGGCTGGAAAGTCCTGGAAAAACACTACTGGTCCTGGAAAGTGCTGGAAATCTGTTAAACTCAAGTGGAAAATATGAAATGTATGGCAGACAGTAAGGAGAATTGACATTGAGATCTTGGGAGTGAAAGGGTTAATGTGAATTTTAGAGTCCTGGACAAGACCTGGAAAGTTTGAAATCAGTGGCAAGTTGTCACAGTTTGATTGACCATATGAAACAGAAGCCATCAGAAGTTGTCAAAAACTAATCAAAACCTTTCCAAGTGGCAATGGTAAGGCACGTAGCTCTGTAACATTTCAGTACACAGCTACATTTTGAGTGTCATACATACAACTTTGCCATTAGCATCACCATTGCCACTGTGTCACAGTGACTTAACACCTCAGGAAAAGTTAAGCTGATGGAATCCATATAATTGCCAGCTGATTCATATGTATCCCACTAAAACTCCCCCTGTCAAACAGATTTAATACCCAGACCTCAGGGCTGTCAATAAGGGCCATAACCCACAGCACCTGCTACAGCTGAGTATGTTTGATGAGCCCTTATGTTATGGGTGAACTTGCCTGTTCTTCACACAACTCACTCAGTTGCTATGGGTGTGGAGATCAAGGCCACAGGTGACGCAAAACTTATGGACAGCCCTGGGTCACCTGGCTTACATGTATCAGAAAAAGATGGCCTAACAGCAGGATTTGTGGTCAATAAAAGAACTTCAAACAAAACAACTCTTCAAACAAGTTTCGTTCACTTTTAATATCTGCTCTTCAATACATAACATTACAATATCAAAAGCCTATCTATACATGGTACACAAAATGCACAAAAAATATGAATTTACTTTTTTTTTAATTTGCTAAGGTCTTCACAAGAACGTGATAAACGATTTCTGGATTATACAACAGAGGACAAAGTGAGGAAAGACAGGCAATAAATACAGAACTATTATTATATAAATACATGGCTCTACTGTAAAGGGTCACAAAGTTTCTCGGCAAGTTACTTTTCAGTTAAGTTCGTATTTCAACAAATTTCTCTGTGGATGAACAAGACTTCACTGTCAGAAGAAGTTGCAACAAGGTGTTTGCAAAAGTTTTGAAGTAAGCTCAACTTCATACTGGTGTTATTTTCATGTCAACCTCTTCATTCAAAATATATTATACTACACATCCTTGTTTCCTAACAAATTCTTGTCATTGCTTGAGTTTTTTATAGGGTTCATAAATTCAATTCTATAAGTTAAGATACTTAATAAGTTTGTCCATGTATCACTGATGCATAGTGCTCCTAGATATGAACTGACTATTCAGTACATTTTATTTAGTGAACATTGCAGTATTTAGCTTTGATCTCCAGAAAACTGAGAAAGATTTTATGAGAATTCGTTGGCCTCCTTAATAAATGCATGCAAGAGTTTAACTTGTGATTTCTGAATCTTATATGACTGTTACTAGAGCAGGAATCACAAAGATGTAATAATTTTCTCAATACTTTTTGTGGTCATTGTAACATTTATGAAATAAAAGTTTCTGAGATTTGGTTGGGAGAATCAACAAATGGAACCTGACATTTTTTTATACTTTACAAGGACATGTTAAATTTTATAAATTAATTTGCTAGATTTTGGCATCAATCACCATAAAATAATATTTCATGATCATCATAAACTCCAGGTGAGTGGATATGTATTTTATATTTTGTATGCACGTATGAGGAAATACTGTGAGGACCAAATCTTGTTTTGTCACTTAACATTTTAAGTATCTGCAAACCCACTACAAATCGTTGCTAACAATAATATTACAATCTCTATACAAAGGGGAGTCACAAAAAAGAAATAATCTCTATCAAAAACAAGCTCTATTGTAGCAGCTTTTACTATACAATTGGTCATGTTGAGAATTAGAGAGTACCTTATATATAACAATGAAGAACAAACTATGAGAGGAACATGAGCGAGTGTCCATTGCTAATTACACAGAGAGCAGCCGTCATACCTCCAAGACATGACCTGTTACATGTAGTATTTCTTTCTTTCAAAGGTAATTTTGTGCGCAATTACAAACCTGTTCTTCTACAGCAAGTATCACAAAAATCTCTGCTGGAAATGCTTAATCCTTTCAGGTTTCAAAAGTTACATCATTTTACAAAAGAAAACATTTTCCATGTTTCTATCAAGTTTTGTTTCAACAACTCAATACTAACACAGAGAAATATACTCTATTAATTTCTTTCAGAAAACACTGAAAAAAGAGGTGACTGTAATTTTGGGAACAAGTTTTTAGTGCGCACTTTCTTACATAGCGTTTTCTAAATATCGTAGCTGCTGGCACTAAATAATTACCTACACATGTACTAGATGCAAAACATGGAATGTAGCGACCACAGCAAATTGTAACTAGGTGAGTATCTACATTTGCCTACACATTGTATTCCTCTTGAGATAACACGTCTTTCCAAAGTGCCTTCATCTCATCAATACATTCACTCCTGGCTTTTCTCTCCTCTTGAAGCAGCTGTTGCTCCATCTCTGAGAGTGCATCTGTGCTGCATTCTATCTGTAAACAGTCATCATACAACATCCCATTTGGCACACTCATGGCCTTTAGAGTTGCTGACAAAGTGGCAGTGTAACGTGTGTGATTGAAGACTTCCGATGCAGAACTCAAACAGTCTAACTGAGAAGTGGGGACTTTGTGCCCAACAAGGATTTGTTCATTTATTGATGTGTGCCCCATGAGCTTTGCAAAACCATAAGGAACACGACCCTTGGAAACATTCTGAAGGCTAACTGGCTCACCCAGAGATGCCTGAAACATTCAACAATACACATATACCACAGCATGAGTGTCTAAGTTGATTGCACAAAATAATCTCATATTGCAATTTGCAAAAATAATGCACTCTGAAAAACAACAACACAAAATAACTTTCAAAATAAATTTGAATATGTTGGTGTTCGTTTAAAGAGGCCACAAACTTGAACTAACATATTTATATGCTTGCTGGATCATACATATGAGGCACCATTTGCAAATATGAAAATGGAATGCCAATGGTGGCCAAAAATGCCTTTAATATTGGGGAGGTCTGGAACCATGCATGTTGCTATGGTAACAAAACTGTTAAGTTCATATTGTGGAGCAAATTTAGTAGAATCTTTCTGTAAAGAATCAAACATTTCTGATACAAATTGGCCGAGATATCTTTTTTCATCATATTTGATGAAAATTTGGTTGAGTGTATGACGTCGTCACTTTGCTAATTTGCATACTTTAAAAACTTGAATATCTCTGGAGCGAAAAGAGATATTTGAAAATAGTAAACAGCATTTTTCTTCTAATGCAGGCTACTTGTTTATGTTTTAAAATAGCTTCGTTAGGAAAGATGTGATTTTCGTCATAGTACCACTTTAAAATGATAGCCAGAAAGTTACTAGGCTAATGAAACTAAACGTTGAAGGCTAAATTGCAGGGGACTAGTACTGCATCAGGAGTGGAGGGGGTACAGGATTAATTTGCAGTCATCCTATACACTTAAGTCATTCCATGTCACACAAACTGGAATTAACTTATGACATATATGAGCCATTTGCTCCTCTGTTTCTAATGATTGGAATGTATTTACTCACCTCATCACAAACCAAATCACAAAGAGACACAAGCTTTGCTCCCAGTCCTTGAGCTGGCTTCTTCAAAGCAGCAACTATTGGCTTTGGAAAATCAATCATAACCTGGGCCAGATACCTAGAGAGGAAAACATAAAATTTATATCATACATGTAAAATGCAATGCAGCTACTATTGCCAATATTATTAACACTGCCATGTTAATCAGGAAACAAAATAACAGTAAGAGAAAGATAAACCTGTTTAGCCGAGCAGATGGTAAGTTTGATCAGTCTGATGTGATCAACATGATGCCATAATGTTACAAAATTAATGGTAAATAAACCTACACCCTATGATTAATCAGTGCCAGTTTTGAGTATTCATGACAATATTAAGAGACTTAAGATATCACAAGTTTTCACTCCAAGTATGAATTAAGAAAAAATATTAGAAACTGCTTTAAATAGTCAGACTTCTACACAACTGGGTGGTAATACAAACATCCTTGACAGGTAATGTAAATTTCACTTTTATATCCATAAAATTTGCCCAATGTTATGACAAAATATTTACAAGGCTAAAAAAGTTTAAAAATGGTTAAAAATTTAAATATATTTACATAATATTACTGAAGTTGGCAGTTGGTTCTCTTTTAATTTCAGTTGTCATGTTAGTCTCTATGGCAACAACACTGTTACAATATGCTTATCACAAGGATTGTCAGCTTTTTGGTAAAGGAAAATACTTTCATCACACACATAATGACCAGTATTGCTTATGTAGAAATGTTTAACAATTTATTATTTTTTTGTATTTTACTAAGACAGGTTGCGTTATCAAATATACAAGTTTTGAAATTGTTCAGAAAACTGCCCCCGCCACAGATTTTTTTCTGCCTAATTTAGCAACATACCTTATTTTATCCACATCCTGTCTGTAATGTTTTGGTTCCTCCTCACACGGCACTGTTGTGAGATCTTTAAGATCAACACCACAGAAAGTCTCCTCTCCTAAGCCACTGATAACAACAAACTCTGATTGGTCGGTAGCCGCATCCTCCATAACAAGAGTAAGCGAGTCTACAATTCTCTGATTAATTTTTCTCCTCTTGCTTGTGGATCGCCCAACAGTGACATGAAGACAATCATCCAATTTTTGAACGGACACTTCTTTGCAGATAAAACGTTTCTCACAAGGATCAGATGCATCAACTTGTGCACAGTTTGTTTTCTTCAAATTGACTTGCACTAAATGAGAATCATCATTTGATAACCATCTGTCAATTTCAGATTGTTTACTATGATACTCGATCAAGTCATCCTTCCAGTATGCATGGTACGATAATCTGTTTACAACTGTCACATCTTGACAGTCATGACCAAGGAAACATTTGAAGTCTAGTTCATAATCAGCCAATTCATCAGATGGAGCCCATGAGCTGGTTCCATCTTTCCACTGGACTAAATACTCATACATGCCTGAGAGATTTCGTCTCATTCCAAGAATTTTGTCAGCTTTGTTTCTTCTTCTACGTTTGTGAACATTGTCAGAACTTTGCTCAGTTCCCATCACTGGTTCACAGTCACTTTGAGATACATTCAGTTCACTTCTTACCTTAAGATTTTTCCTGGCTTTATTTAAAGCTTTACGTTTAAGTTTCTCTGCAATAGCTCTCTTTTTCAAAGCAGAAGCCACAAGTGGTCTCTTGTCCTCCTTTCTTTGTGACTCCAACTTCTTCAGCTTACGTTTCAACGTTGGTGAGCCATCGTTTTGCTCGTCCTCTCCGGTAAAATGAAAAGCATCACTTTCAATCTTGTCTGAATCAAACGACGGTTCAGGTTTCGGCTTAGGTGGACGACCACGTTTACGTTTCACCTCTTTGCCAGGGGACAGAAGTCTGCAACCATTCACTCCTACAAACTTCGAGTTCACCTTGGTCATAAATGCTTCCGGTGAGTGCAGCAAATAGTCCAGGGATTCTTTTGAAGGTTTCAGCAATGAACGTTTGTCGACTGCTTTCAAAAGAGGCCGCACCCAAGGTTTTTTCACGCCATTTTGTGTCCGGAATATTTTGTGTTTTGTTTCGCAACTTGATAACAATTTCTTCGGCGGTCGACCTCTTCTCCTGGGAGTTGCTGTCGCGGATTCGTTTTCATCACTACTTGACGACAAACAGCCCTTTTGCAAATTGCGTATGCCTTTCGACAGTTTTCTTTTCTTACAAAATTTTGAAGTTGAAGGTGACGCGAGAGATGCTTTCGTGGCACTTGTATCACAATTGCCATGTGGCGAACGAATGTCAACTGAATGTAATTTCTCGAAAGACTGTGTTAGATTCTTTGGAGGTCTACCTCTCCTTCGCTTGGAAGGAGTCTCGCTGGAATTTGAACTCTCATTCTCCGTTTGAAGATCACTTGGCGTCCTTTTCAGGCAAACAGTTTCAGATGATTGACTACGAGAATTATTAAGCTTACATGTTGATGACAAAGAACTAACTATGCCAGAAGGCGAGACAAGGCCAGCTATACCGTACTCCAAATTTGTGCTCTCACCGTTTTGCCGTTTAGGAGACATCAGTCTTCCTTCCATTTCATGATTCGACAATAAAAGAGAAGAGTCTCTTTCTATAGACTTTGTTCGGCCATTCTTACATTTAGGACGCGAAGAATCTGACAACAGACGCTTCCTCTTCACCGAATGAAACTTCCTCCGTGAACTTCGCTCGTCTTCAGAGTCTGACTCCATGTAACGAGCGGGCTTTTTAAGCGTTCTTCCACCGTGAGTAACTAAGGAGGGATTATGCGTTAGGCCGTTGAAAATAAACTCTCCTTTACCTCCTTTACCCGTAGTCTTTGTGCGATGTTCGGGCGGCCTTTTAATGCCATTCAAGCAATTGTCTCCACAACCCACAGTTTGAACGCTTGATTTGTTCAATGTTGTCTCCGAACTCGACGTCAAAATCATGCCCCTGTCCTCGTCCCTAGTGGGACTAACCGTTGAATCATCTATTCGCATGTCTACCATACAACATGAGCGGAAATCTCGCTTTACAAAGAAAGCGGACACAAATAAAAAAGTTTGATATTATTGAATGGTGCACGCTATGCAAAGCTTGGAAGTTTGAGCGCGTGCGCCATTATTTAAATTCCCCCGCATGCGTGAAGTAGAGCTTACCGCTGGCATGGCAATAAATCTGAAGATTCGGCAAGGTCTGATTTTCTCTCCACCGGCTTCACGGACCGGCCTTTACGGGGTTTTACGAGCTGCCGTTGTAAAACACTGAGCGATAAATTTTACTATAATCTTAACCAATGTCAAACATGGACTTCACCGGCAAATAATATGTTAGATAGCATAGTTTTGACTGTAGAAAAATAATCGTGCGATAGCATATATGAAGACCAAAGTCCACTGAGGTTCCAAGAATGGATGTTCATAGGATCACGCTGTCTAACCGACGTCATTCAACGCGCACCTTTTTATCATATCTCAGATTAAAGACAGATTATGGGACAGACACAAACGACTGTTCATTCCAACCTCGTTCCCAGAGTCCTCTCTCTTGAGAAAACCCTGATAACGAGGTTGGCTTTCATTGCTCTCCTCCCATCACCTCAGGTTATCAGAGGGTTATCACATATGGGTCTTGAAATGAGATGAAAATGAATACAGGCGTTCCTTTTACTCGGTCACATCTGATAAATGGGTTATAAAGTGCACTGTTTAGAAAAGTTTTCAAACACCACTCGTAGTGTACTTGAATTCATACAATTACCTTTACTTACAAACGTCCAGGCCGATTGTGAATTTTGCTTTGATGTTATTATTATTTGTTACCTCGATTTTCAGATATATCTAATGAGATAGAAGGTTGATTTTTGTCCTGATGGAACATCCTGTCAATTTCAATCAGTTCAGTTTAATTGAATTAGTCTCGTTTTTCCTTTTCATTGCACCAGATCTTTTCTCAATCCAGTGTGGCAGACTTGACTGTGCAGTGTTTGTTTTTCTTTTCTGTCTAATGAAAAACATTTAGACGTTAACACCCATTTGACTTCAAGTTATGTTATGGCCGAAGGTGTTCCTTTATCTCAGTAAAATTGTGGCAAGGGACGGCAAACGAAAATGCTGTTGTAGGCTGATACTACGTAGAAATGTTAACGTGACGACGACGTGATAGAGTCCAAACTGAAAGCCACGAATTACAACCGCGTGGAATGCTGTTTTGACCTAGTTAAGTCTCGTTAGCACGGACAGGAGGAAGGGGGGAGTTGGGGCCTAACAGGAACCGGAAAATCACTCAAATTTTCCTTAAAAACCGAAAAGCAGCTATAGAAAAACGCTCAAAACCGAAAACCACTGAGCAAAATGATTAACATGCAAATTCACAAACTTAAATCCGTCTAGCTTGAAGAACACGGCAGCGAAAGACGCGTATATTTTCTTTTTTGAGGGTTNGCATATTTTTACAAAGTTTTCCGTAAAATAACCCAGCTTGTCATCTCATAAAAAAATAATTATAAGTAATAAAATAACGCAATCTCAGAAAATGAACGCCGGTAGTTTGCGAGAAGGAAGAAATCATTCTGGTAGAACAAGAGAAGAAGCAATCTCTACCCTCATGCTCTCCCTCCATTGCTCCTTGGCTTGTTCAGGTGTGTATGTTTTCAGCCCATAGTTTGACATGATCGTTTTCCCCTTCTTTTGCTCTGATTCCTCCATAGCCGGTGTTGATGAAGTACACAGTGAAATATACAGACTACGTCTTATGCCGTTTGTGACGACATTTATTGTCGTTCTGTGCAATCGTGAGCGTGCGTTCAAACGTACAGTAGTGTTATACAGAAGCAATTGCTTTCTACCGATAGCTTGTTCTGTCACTAGTATTTCATTGCGGAGAACAGAGAAATCTGAAGTCAGGGTTTACCCATCGACTTCAAGCAAAGTTATGGCTTTAACTCCCTGAAGGAAACTCAGCCGGAGGCAAAACGTAAAAAGTGCGCGCGCCTTCAGCTGAGCTGAGCTGGAGTAAAGAATTTCGAAGGACTGGGAACTAGAATAAAATTCAACATGGCGGCCGAAGTTGCTCCACAACCATCGAAGAAAACTTTGTCGAAAACTCTCATGGAAATGAAGGTAGGGTATTCTACTGTTACTATTAAGTACTTGTGCTCAATACTACTCATCCCTTTTTTAATATTTAGTTCATGAGGAGGAAAGCAGAATCAGACTATCGCCGCCAACTTGAAGAAGAGCGACAACGTGCTATTGAAGAATCGCACTGGGTACTGGACGAGAAAGAAAAAGATGATCGGTTAGCTTAATAAAATTAAATAGTTGCTTGTTATATCCTTATGTGGTAGCTTTTCTGAAACTACTTGGACTACTAGGGTGCTTGGGAGAAGGGGGTTGGGGAGAGGTGAGGTCTTCCTCTCAGGGTTATACCGTGTAATGAGCCGCTAGGGGGTTTGGGCCCATCTCCTACTCTGTTGAATTTAATGTGTTTTGCCAGAGATGTTGATGCCAACTCTCCTAAATAACTTCATCTTAAATGTTCCTTATTTCCACCTTTAACACCTGATAGCCTGAAAGGTTGCATCGTCCACTTGCGCTCTCCACACAGCATGCATCAAATGCAGAGATACGTGTCGATATACTTCATTTCAGCTTTTGTGGTTTTCTTAACAAATTAGTTGCTAATCAAGATTTTTGAATTTTTTTAGAAGTTGCATTGAGTTTGAACCCAGTTATGTCAAATGTGAGGAACTTTATCCAAGTGGTAGGATGTCTTTCAAGAACTTTAACCCAACAGTTGAAGTAAGTCTAAATGTTTGAACCTGAATAGATTAATGTACATTTGTGTGTGCAATCCCATAGTAAACCATCACAATGAATTGCTTATCCTCCTGGGTTGACAGGGACACTGTGAGCAGTAAATACTAAACATGTTGAATAAATTAGGGCGCACAGCATTTTGCACTGCTTAATGCAGGGCACTTATCCGATAGCATGGACACAATATTAAGGATGGTCCACTCATTTATTTTCTCAATCGGAATGCAGAACAACAGATGACACAACTCAACAACTGTACAATAGCGTAATACAGCCATTCTCTGTATCACTTCATAATTTATGTTTAAATGTTGCATTCATATGGAAAGCAGATCATGACATACATGTAGTCTTCAGTGTGATTCACTTGTCTTGTCCGGTTATTTTATGCCAAATTATGACTTGAAATATGCAGCTTTTGTAATAGGGTTGCATTTAGGAAGGGACACTGATTAGAAAACATGTCACTCAAGGAGGAGTTTTTTATTGCTAGTTTTTACTGTCATGCAGTCAAAAATAAAAAATGAATCATTCAGTAACTCAAGTTAAGAGTTTAAAATATGATAGATGATTTATATATTATTAACCTTGCCAAGATTTATGTCTGTGTAGTTTTTCATTCACACATCGTTCTGAGAACTGTTTCACTCTAATTGCAAGATTTTTGTATAGAGACATATGACGGTTGCTAATATGGTAGCTGTAAAGTAACAGAAACATCTCTCATAGAGTATTGCTATTAAAAGTTATTTCTCTAGAGCTCATACATTGTCTAACCTAAGGACTGTCAAGTTTGCAATAACTCAATGATAAATCATCTTTTGGCCTACGTGACAGCCTTCTCGGGCTGCCATTTCAACTTCTCACAATGCAAAACTTGGATATTTAAACTTGCTTGCTTATTACAAACTGAAGAACCCCATTAAACTACAGCTTTATAAACTATCAATTTCTTAGAGGGTGTTACATTTGATTAAACTAAAACCCCAGAAGGAGGCTGAGGTAATTTTTTATTTGGAATGTAATGACTTCCTCTGAAACCTGGCAATTACAAAGAGGGTGCTCACTTCAGAGTCCAATTATAATGACGTTTCAACCAAGAACCTGGAACTTGGTAAAATTGAATCCAGACCTCATTTGTAAGCCTACATCAAAAAGGAAGTTCTTCAAAAAAAATTAAATTGAACAAAACCTTGGGGGCTATCCATTCAACCAAAAATTCCTTAAATTTCAAATCAGGAACAAATGGTGCAGACATTTTCAGGTAAAGTTTCTAGAAAAGCCAGAAACTGTTGTATTTCCATTAATGGAGCAGAAATTCCAGGTAAGAAATTTTGAACATTTGGGTATACTTTACAAGGTTTTCCAGAAATTCCTGATAAATTTATTCTGTTCCACTGGTCACTAACAATTCTGAAATTTAAAACAGAATTTTTCATTGAATGGAAAGTGACTGTCACCCCTTCTGCTGATTAGGGAAGTAAGGACTCACTGGAAACCACTGCCATGGCTCCTGTATTTACTTTAAAAGTGAAAGACTGAAGACAGCAAGCTCTCGCTTGGTATTCCATAACTTCTCAAACTCATTAATTGATAATTCATCAAGTTAAAACAAGGAAAATCACAACCATGAAGGAGGTTTGGACACCTGCTCTTAATTAGCATAGATTTTGAGAATTTTACTTCTCCCTTTACTCCCTAGTTTTTGTTTTTGTTGAGAAGATTAAATATATCAACACTCGAGACAGTGTTTCATCGGCTGTCCAAACACCTTGAATTTCGTAAAAAACACTCTGCTGCGCGTCCTGTTTTCAACTATCTTCTCAGTGTTTGGATATCCTGATGAAACTCTGTCTCTTGTGTTTAGTATAAATTTGTATTACCTCAAATTATATATTCCATGCTGAAAAGTACCTCTGAAACAGAAAGAGAAGTCACGTGTTCCTTAATCACTGTATATGGAAAGTCCTCTACAACCAAGAGAAGACTAGTGCAAGTGGTGTACAAGAGGTGGCTGATTCAAGTGTTTTTGTTTTGTTTTTTGATCATAAAAGAATTATTCATATTTATTTCAAATATAAGTTTTTTTTGGAGAACTTACTTTTTTGAGGGAGAGAAAATAAAAAATATGATATGCCTGTAGGCACCTTAAGTGCAGCTTGGGGGTCCTGAGCCAATGGTTTGCTATGAATTTTGTCAACAGAAGATGTTCAAAGAGATGTTAGCTGAGGAAAATTTGGCAAGATCAGAAGCTAGGGAAAGGGAAGAAACAGTTTCTGACGAAGAGATGGCAAAAAGGTAAATTATTGATTTGGGATATACTGTCTGACAAAAGTAGGGTTGTCAATGTTACTTTAGGGAACAAGTTAGCTGAACTAGCTGTAAACCACAGCTGTCTTTAAGGGCTGTAACCCGTAACACCTGCAACAGCCAAGTATCCTTCATTTTCCCTTGATGTTACTGGTCGAGTGTACTATAGATGTGCAGTTCACCTAAAAGGTAACAAGTTTGTTATGGGTTTGAAGATCAAGGCTACAGTTGACTCAAAACTTAATGACAGCCCTGTAAACCACCAGCTATTACTGTTATCACCACTCTTTTGTGGAAAATACTTGCACCAAAAAAAGGTTTAAGGGAAACAAAAACATGGAATGATCCCCTAGGGACTAATACATGCAGTTTAACTGTATGTCAGTCCAAGATATTGTGATATAACAATCCAGTAGAGAACACAAAATACAAGAAAAATGCAACATGACGTCTACATAGGACTTAGCATGCATTGTGTGTCTGCCAGACAGTAAATATTGATGACATTAGTGTGATGGTCCAGGTAGTGTGAAAAAAGGTTGTTGTTGTTGTTGTTGTTGTCGTTGTTGTTGCTGTGGATTGTCGTGTGACAATCCCTGATTGACAACCTAAGCAGTGGTCATCTACAGAGTCAAATGTAAACATAGCAACAATACTGCATGTTTATCAGCTAAAGGATTTGGTCATATAAAATCTCATGAGATTATTTCATTAACAATGCCTTTATCTGATTTTCACTTGTATCTGACAGTGAGTAGCTTATAGGTTGTTCAATTGTTCCTCAACAACTTTGTTTTTCAGGGGCAGCCCTGGTATGCCTTGATTGAAAAAATTAACAGTGTCTTTGTTTTATAGATATGAAAGCTTTGTGGGAACAGTAGCCAAGAAATTTTCAACCAAAAGGAAAAGATCATCAGTTGGTGCTAGTTTCGAATCAGACAGTCCTTCTATAAATCAACCCTCCAAGAAAACAAAAAGAGAATTCATGAAACCAAAGGACCGATAAATATGGGAGGGATCTTGAAAATTAATAAGATTTTGTATTTTTGACATACAGTAATATTTAACTTTTTAAAGCATTTTTTAAGTGAACCATTGTTCAGGCATGCTGAAACATCTGTTTAGACTTTGTTCTTTACTTCTGTTTTAATAATATTATAAAATTATGTTTTAAAAAGGAAAAGTTAACATCATTAATTTTTATCAACAGCATCATTGAATGTATGAGGAGAACCATATAGCTAGAGTCTCTTTCAGCATTGGAGGCCTGTGATATTAGCTAATTATTGATTCTTCCTTTTTTAATTTCTCAAATGAAAGCATAATTCATTTCATGAAGTGACACAATAATATAAATGGTTGTGAAAAAGTTAACAGTATAAATACAGTCAAGTTTGCTTCCACTCAAGCTGCAGGGAACCTGGTATGTGTGTATGTATACCTAATGGACCACTCCCCATTGGGGCTTTTCAGGACCAATGTAAACAAACAGTGATAAATAAATATTCAAATAAACATAACTAGGTTAAGAATCCCAACTGGTGGGAGGCAGACCAGTTGGCTATTTGCAAGCGTCGCCGAGAAGTCGAGCTTGGGGCTACCGAGAACAACATCAGCTAGCAGTCAGAACGGGATTTGAACCCGAGACCTACGGATTTCAAATCTGGCGCTCTAACCACTCAGCCACGCCGCCTCTGTGCAGTAGTGGCCGAGTGAAATGAACTTCATGAAATGAATTATGCTTTCATTTGAGAAATTTGCCTAAATGGAAGAATAATGCCGCAGTTTATTAAATTTGAGAAAACGTCCTGTAAGAAAGCACATGCTAAAAACCATAGGAATACAGCTGAGTTGACATAATGATGGCAGAAGCAAAGAGAATTTACCTTTTGATAATAATAATATATAAAAATGTGATATTTCTTTCTTTCTCTCAAAGCATTTTCTGAAAAAAAAGAAAACATTTTCCATGTTTCTTTGGAGTTATAGAAACACGCATGCAAGTTTGGGAAAAATTTGTGGAGACCACAACATTTCTTGTTCTCCCAAACCTCCAGTTGTGTTTCTATAACTTGACAGGAACAAAGACAATGTTTTTTATTTTTTAAATGTTCCATTTTACAGAATTTATATATGTAGCTAGCCTGCAGATTTTATCTAGAGTTGACCAAAGCCCCACTCCAAGTGTAGTCAAGCAAAGAATGAGAGAAAAAAAGTATCTTTCGTTTGCTCTTAAACGTTCATGTTCCCTGTGTTACTCGTCTGAAGAGATCTCATTGAATATTATTAAATATCACAGTGAGTCACTAGTGTTCAAGAATCAATATTCCCCTTAGTCATTCTAAACAACAAACACAGGGAACAAACATTATTAATAATAATTAGATATATACTGGTACCGTAAATCCTAGAATTTGCGCCTCCCCTCAAATTAGCACCCCCTTTGAATAAGCACCCTCCTATCAGCCAAAATTTAAAATAAGCACCCCCCTCCACTCCCCCCCATTTTATGGAAGAGTATTGAAACAACAGAGAAGGTATAGTTTTGGTAGTATTCAATCACAAGCGATTATCAACTCATTCAAGCACTGTGAATTGACCGTCATAGCAGATGCTGCTGATTCATTGGCTAAGGCCCAACCAACCTTGTGCAGCAGGCCAAGACCGGCCAAAGGTGTTATATTATGTAGTTCTTCAAGAGAGACAGGATCCCTCTGAGACTTATGACACATGCGTATATTACAAAACAAGAATCATATCTGAACACAATTTGGGAAAAATGAAATAAGTGCCCCCCTTGATTAAGCCCCATGGTTGGCCTCATGGTTAGTGCACTCGTCTCCGGATCAAGCAATCCGGGTTTGACCCCTGGCCAGGGACATTGTGTTGTGTACTTGGGCAAGACACTTTACTCTCGCAGTGCCTCTCTCTACCCAGGTGTATAAATGGGTACCGGCAAACTTAATGCTGGGGGTAACCCTGCAATGGACTAGCATCCCATCCAGGGGGGAGTAGAAATACTCCCAGTCGCTTCATGCTACAGAAATGGGGATAAGCTCCAGCCTGATGGGCCACTTGGCTTGTGTACAGACTTTACCTACCTACCTCGATTAAGCCCCTCCCTTAAATAAGCACCCCCTATCTTCTCCTACATTGTAAATAAGCACCCTGGGCACTAATTCAAGGATTTATGGTATTTATTCACTTGTCATGGGATTGCATTGAGTGACTTATGGTGTATATTCTAGATAATCAACTTTATATATAACAGTCAGAAGTCAATCACAACTCAAGACTGCTTGAAAAAAATTATTTATTCCAACAATGATGATGAACTTTAAACCATGTTATTGTTATAATTCTCATATTACACCTAGTCCTAAAATATGTCACGAAGATGACAATAAAAAAGACGAGGTGACAGAAATAGTGAAAATGTACTGCTTTTGTTTATTACTGAAATTTGAACACTATACAGTTATACTTTTGTGATAAAAATAAAAATAGAAATTTCACAATATGACACTAAGCTCTGGAAATTAAATTATCTAGCGAAAGAGGACAACTGCATAATGTAAGTGTAAGTTTGAATGAAGTTGATTTATTTTATTACTGTATCATTTTATTCACCATCACACAAAGTCCAAAAAATGTGTGAAAAGATATAAAAGATTTTTAGTATTAAATATGTGCTCATGACTATGAAGGATGTTATCCTTACTGTATAGCATCTTTTCTATAGAATTCTATCCTAATGAGAAAAAGAAAAACAGAACCTAATTTAATGGTACTAATCCTTTGGAAATTCTAACAAAAGCTATGGTAAACACCAGATCCCTATTAATACTAAGTACATGTATGGTGCAAGGAAAGCAATGTTGATAATGGAATCTAGCTAAGCTGTAAAATCCTTTGTTTGTTACATGAGAAGTAATGAAGAATAGGGAAAAAAATAGCTACATTGAAGCTTATATCCACTACAGTTAATGTTACCTTATTTTGTTTGAATTTTGTTTTCACTGTTTGCTTAACTCTAAATAGCGAGATATGCTGCATTGAGTGTAATAATATATTAATATCCAAGTGGATCATTTCTTTATGAAATGGACTGGACTGCATTAATAATACTATCAAAACTTGTTTCCTGATTAATTATATCCTTTCAGCAAATTCAAATGCTATTATAACACTACCAGTAAAATTAAGATTTAGACATAACAGGATTTGTAAATAACATTGAATGCATTTAATAGATCTGATCAGAGCCCTTATCAGATTTTTTTTAAATATGGAATAATGCATGAGGACCACACACTGTCAGGTTTGCGACAAAATGTTTGTGAATTGTTTGAAATTACAAACCTACATCAAACCAAATAGTTAAGAGTGGTTTGTGTTATTCAAACTTATAAATATTCAAATAAAATTGCCCACCCTTTCCCCTATACATGTATTAAAAAGCTATCACAGGAAATTGATTTACACATTTCCATTTAAATTTAAAACAAGTTTGTGTGAAACATCCAGTATTGCCAAACTTTAACATAACATAAGCAAGCTCATTTTCAACAAGTTAGACTAGCTAAGGAGTTTGAGCACCTTTTGAAATTTCATTTACTGCAGTTAGCACAGCAGATGCAGATTTTGATCTCTTGTGGCCTTTCTTCATGTTGCTGTCAATAAACTCTTTTTCTTCCAACTGGGCTTCCACATCAATGTCCATTGCAAAATTCTTTTCTGAAGAAATTCTTTGAAGTTGCTCTGGTACAGCTGTTATCACATGACCATTTGCTAAAACATCTGGTTCCATCTCCTCACAAGTTCTATTTAATTCCTTTCTTGCTCTGCGAATTACGTGCGTCATCAGCAGAATACTGATAATGAATTGAACAAAGAGTAAAATGTAACTACCAGACTGGTCTTGCACAACATCCTCCAGAGAACGAAATGTAGATCCCATGTATGCATTCAACGCTTGTGTAGGTAAAAGCCCAAGTGTAGATGAAATTACATATTTAGGTGTACTGACATTAGTAACCTGGTGAGGGAAAAAAGAAAAACTAATTATACCTTTGATTTGATACAGCACTGTCTAGAAACATTTTTAATCAGGGACTAAGGAGTAATTTTGAATTCCTTTTCACAATATTAACATGTACTAAATGTTAGAGATAATACTGAACACAAAATAATCAGTGGTTTGTCCAACTTCCATATATCTTTTATTTGGTTGAGGTGATTCAACTGAATTGCACTCCACATTCTTACTGCACATAATTCCTTGTGTCAATTTCCCTGCACGTGAGCGCATGCACATACACACATTAACAGATTTTTCAAACTAAGCATAACAAAGAAATAAATTATTGTTTTATTGCAAATGAACATGGTGACCCCCACTTTTTACTGCATAAATTCAAATAACATGGCCTAATTCTGCTTTGAGACATTTTTATTGAAATGCTGCAAACAACACACCATCATCATCAAATTATGGGCATGTGCACATGTAGTGAATTCTTTAAATTGTTCTCACAATTTTCATTCCTTTCAGTGAAAATAGTTTATCATGTTACACCAAAGACTATTCCAAAAATATCTCTAAAATTTAATCTAAAAAATGACTTTTTTTCAGAAATTATGGTCCCCTTTCAGATTGTTTGAATTCCAAAGGAAAACTTTGAGGCAAGAATTTGCTTTTGAGATCTTTTTAAAAAAATTCACTGATTGAAAACCTAAGCTGTAGTGGGTGTTTTAGGCGTGTTCCAATTTAGTTATATTTGTGTGGTGTAGTATGATAAATTTCTACTTCTATAAGGCGAGGGTGCTAAGCTGCGGGTATTACTGTAGCTTACTTAAGTGTCAAATTATGCACGCTTGAATAATTTGCTGAAAGAAGTATTTACCAGTATTTATAACCGTAAAAATCAACAGTACTTTAAAATGTAGTACATACGGGAACAAATGATTACACCAAAAGTAGCTACAAGAAAGTAAAAGATAAACAAAGCTCTAGTATTTTGCCAGCTGTTTGCAGAAACACCTGAACGAACACACGCGAGGACACATGTCGGAAAATGGCTTCCCATGTGACGAAAATACAGTACGCCTTATGGCTTTATTGCAGTATTAACTTACCGAAAATAGTCCATTTTGCAATCCAAACGGAACAGGGGTCAGCCTTGTTAATGCAATCACTTTAAAACCACGTTTTCCCTCCACGACCCGCATGATCGCTTTTAAACTGTCCGACTCCAGTCTTGAGCGAACGAAATCTCGTAAATATCTTCTACAAACGATGAATGCAGTTGACGCACCACACAGGACAGAAACAACAACAACCATAGATCCAAGAATAAATCCATACAAGTAGCCTGCTGCTACGTTTAATAAAATGTATCCCCATGTCATAGGAAAAGAGACTACCGTGAACATTATTACAAATAGCAGCATTCCTTGCCACTCATCCAGATTCTGGAGCCATTCCAAGACATCTTTCACGTACCGGCGACATAAAATAACCACGATCAGTCCGATGATGAGGAAGATGATGGCTGTACCGGAGATCTGATAACATCTTGGTTGTGTACGTTTGCTAACCACTTGGTCGAACTTGGTAGTTTCGCCGAGGCATTTTTGAGCTTGCGATTGTATCTGTTCAGTACATTTTTGGCCATACTTAAAGACCATGGTTTTAAAGACCTCTTAGACGGGGTTAGGTCGATTTCTTACCTGGAATAAGACCAACACCTTGCCATCTTCGGCTCGAACTGAGACCCTGAACAAAAGAGCGTGACTCTGTGAAATCAATCCCATGCAATATTACATTTCGTAAACGCGAAACGCCCAAGCCCTCGGCCAAACGTCAAACTGGGTAAGTCAGCGGATTTTCTCTGAGCTTTGTAACCGAGCCATATTGGTCGCCATATTGGACTTGGAACCTACGATCACGAACTCTGCTATCAAAGTTAAAGGGAGCTTTGTCTGAACTTAACAATAACCAGCGTACATCTTAGGACTTCGTTGCTTACGAAGGCCTACAGGTACGCACGTAGTTCTCTGTTTGGGAAAGCAACCATTGATAAAATTACGATGCTAGCTTGGTAACCGAGCCAAATTCCGTCGACCAACGGGACACAGCTCAGCTAATTGTAAACTTGATGGTGTTACTTTTAACTGTGGAGTAAAGTGCAAGGTACAGTGGTATTCAGCCTCTTCCTCTCAGGTAAGTTACAAAATCAGAAGAGATATGTTAACTTTCTATATTTTTTTGGCACCAGAATTCTTAAGCTTTGGTATGTCAACAGAACCTTCCCCCACAACTCGTACCCACTAAAAAAAAAAACTTAAAATCTCTCCAAAAATATCATAATCGCTAGAATAAAAATTATTTAAAATCTGTCTTTCTTCTCTCTCACTTCTGATGAGAAAGTTGTAATGTTCATCTTTTTGTTTCAAAATAAGGGGACGAAATTAAAAGGCAACCTTGTTCATTAAATAGTCTAAACAAAATATATGTAATAATAATAATAACAATAATAATAATAATAATAATAATAATAATAATAATAATAATAATAATAATAATTATAAACTAATATTTTAAGAGGAGGCCTCCAATCACCTAGAGGTGATTTTCAGGAGGAACACATTCTTGTCACACATGTGAACACATTCTCGTCCCCAGAGGCTGCGCTCCTTTTGGTCAGCACCAAGAATTGCGACCTCTGGCCAGGCCCAATTTTCTGAGCACGCACAGAGTATTTGTTTTGTATTCTTAGACAATCAGATTTGCCAGATTTGACAGGAAGTCCATGAATCGCGGACTTCCAGTGTCTCTGCGCATCCTTAGAAAATCAGGTGTGGCCAGAGGCCGTGATTCTTGCTGCTGACCAAAAGGAGCGTGGTCTCTGGGGATGAGAATGATGTGAACATGGAGTTAGGTGTGGCATTATAGCAGGGTCACCAATGCACCAAGGGTTGGAGGCTCTAGTGCTAGCAGAGTTGCTTTGAACTTAGATAAGTCTAAATAAGTCTGGAAAGAGGAGGGCAGCTTCCCAACTTACCTAGGAAAGATTGAACTGGCTCTGCTAGCGTTAACTTATGTTAATGTTAATTTCCACACTGTTAATTAGGTTGCACGTTACTTTCCGCAACATTAATTACTATCATTTTCCCCCAAATCTGTGACACACTCCATTTGTTCTTGACACAGCCAAACAATAAATTTTATTCACGCACTTTACATTTCACATCAATCTTTTACATTAATAAATCATTTAGTCTACTTCAACTGAATTTTGTTTGTGTTCTCTGTCAGCTTTACAGTGTTCAAATAAATTTGTTCCTGTTCTCAGCAAATTCTGGGTTTTTTTTTTCTGTGTAGCTGTTGCGTTAACTTCTCTCATTTTGAAATCTTACTCCCTCTCTCTCTTTAATTTCCATTATTGGGAAGCAAATTTACCTTCAATTCACGTTAATTTAAGTCACTTTAATTTCAAATACATTTATTAACAAGAGCATTAATTTCCTATAATAAGGTAAGCTCAAAATTGTTGAACACCTCTTATATAAACATGAGAGGATCAATTTGATGTTTGTAATTGCTGTAATACTTTTCTTGAACAGTTTTACTATCTGTGAGAGAGGAGGTATATGGTCATAAATACATGTGGGCCAGTCAATATGTAAGAAGTAGAACCGGACGATTGTTACTAGAGAGACTTGCTTTTGATGACAACCAGGAACAAGAAATAGGCAAAGCGACAGTGAGTTGAGTGTTTAAAAGGTTATCATAATACATAAACCATTTTACAGTTATTTGCTCAATGACCTCAGGCCTTTGAATGGTAGTGAGGCTGGAAGTGACTTTGTTTTGATACAGACCTTGCTGTTTTTGTTGTGTAAAACAAGTTTGCACTTAAATGAGAAAAGCAGAGAGGTCTGTATCAAAGCAAGATGACACCTCCAGCCTCGCTTAAAATTGCCCATCTGTATAAACAAGGGGGAAGTAAATTGGAAGGGGGATGGTTGTGACCATTTCACACAAATTTCATTCCCAAAATTCATGCAACACATTTATTTTTAGCTGCCTTTAACATTGTTTTTTTTTTCATAAATTCATGAATCAAATGTATTTTAGTTGCTTTTGACACATCACACCCTACTTTTTGCCCTCATCTCATGTCAGGCAAGAGCCCTTTGCCACCCTCTTACATGTCTATCTCTTATGACTATCAGAAACGACCAAGGGGGATACTGAGAGGATGGTGTGAATAATGTTTTAGTGTGAATCATTGCTGGTGATTTTGGTATTTTTAGGGGCCCTCAAAAAAGGTGGAAAAATTTTATTCTCACAATCAAATTATGTAGTGTACCTCACTACATACCTGACTACAATACATACAGGACAAAACTTCAAAGTTCCAGCTTGGCCCTTTGGACAAGCAGCTTTCAAATTTTTCTTGTCCTGATCAAGTATTAGTTTACTGTTTATCTGATTTAGTTAGTGGATGACTTCCCTGGGCCCTTGTCCTTCAGGCAAGTGAGAATGAAAAAGTTACTTGCGTGGCAGGAAAATCTACTTTTCCCGGATGACTGGATGGCACTATTTTCAAGCCCTGTACATGTATACACTTTTACCAGGATGATCTCTAGTAAACAGACTGCATATACTGGTCCTCCTGCTCTTAAACCAGTTGATTTCATAAAAAAATGTTTCAATATGATTTAGTCACATCTTTTGCTATTCTTCTTAGTGGTACAGGTGTGAAAAATCAGAGCTATCAGATGAGTTACAGTCAAAGTTTGTTGAGAGCACACTGGATGAAGAGACTGAAGCTTTCCTGAATAACTGTCATCAAAAAGCTGATGCAGTGTTTTCACAGATTGGACACCTTTTATTTAAAGGATTCTTTGGTTTCTTCATGTCTGCAACTACGGCCAATGGGTAAGTTTTTTTTTTTGAACGGGTTGTGTTAAAACTTTCACAACAAAAGTGGTGTCATTTTCTTTGTTATAACAATAATCTTCTAGCTGCTTGCAACAAAGACGTTCTTCAACGGATTGATGGTGCAGAATGGATGCAGTGGCTGCAAACTGTTTGTTACTTGGTTATGAATTTCCATTTATATGTCACAATCATTCAGCAACAATCATGTCCTTGATCTCTGTTTTATTGCATTAATCAGTATGGAAAAACAAACATTTCTGTGACAAAAGATGGACACATGGCAAGACTTCTATTTCCTCACGCTATCCATGTACTGCTTTGTTTTTTCTTTGTTTTTTAGCATTTTGGACCGTGGATCAATGTTTGTGTTTTCCAATGCCCAGTTTCAAACAATAATGAGTGTGGATGAGTCATGGAAGACTGGCACGCTGTTGGACTTGGGAGCTGGTGATGGCAAAGTAACCAGTGTTATTAAACATCACTTTGATGAAGTCTATGTTACAGAACAGTCTCCATCAATGAGGTGGCGGTTGAGTGGCAGAGGATTTAAGTAAGTCGTTCCTTGTAATCAAGCTTTCATTCTCGTGTGGAAAATTATTTAGTGACCATGACTTTTTTCTAATGGCATGGTGCTGTATTTTAATCCAGTAGTCATAGCTGATGTCAATCACTTTTCAACATAGGTATGCAATGTGTGCAAATTAGTGGTATACGTGGCCATAGCTCTTTCCTTGTGTTATGCGCCTATGTTACTTCATAAAAACTTACTAAAATTTGTCAATAGTTATTATTATCAATACTTACCAATAAATTAAAAGTGAAACAAATATAGCCTAAGTAGGATTCTTTTAAATAATTGATAAGATGAACAACCAGTTAGAGACACAACACAGATTTCTCCTGGGTAATGTGATGTTATGTTAACAGGCTGGACTCTGAAATGAGCTGTCAGGGTTCAAGCCCCGGCAGGGGTAATTGTGTTGTATTCTAGGGCAAGACACTTTTCTCTCACTGTTCCTCTCCACCTAGGTGTATAAATGGGTACCAGCAAATTTAATGCTGGGGATAACCCTGCATCAGACTAGCATCCTGGTGGGAGTAGTAATATTTGTAGTTGCTAAATGATAAGGTATGGACTGACACAGACTTTTTACTTTTTACTTATCAGTAAAAGTGATAAAATAATGCCTTATCAGGATTCTTGTAAATAATTTCTCTTGGATAATGTGATTGTTGTTGAGGGGTAGTGTAGTATACTTGGTTTAGTGACTTCCTGAAAAGAGGTAGCTATTTTCTTATACTAACTCATTAATGTTAAGAATGATTGAGAATGACAAGCGGACAGTGAACACCACTAAAGAATTGAAATGTAAAATGTCTTCATACCAGATTGCTGGATGAAAGTGAGTGGATGAATGTTGACTTCAAATTTGATGTGATCTCCTGTCTGAACCTGCTGGATAGATGTGATAAGCCTCTGACACTGCTCAGAGACATTAAACAAACTCTATGTCCAGTAACTGGTCGACTGATTGTAGCAGTGGTTCTGCCATTTAAACCTTGTGTAGAATCAGGTTAGATTTGTTTGCCTCTTTCTTTATTTGTTTTGCTTTTCTCTTTTTGTTTCAGAGAACTAGTTTCCTTTGTGTCAAGATGTTACATTCAGTGGTTAGGAAGAAGGGTTAAATCATTATGCAATTAATTTTGTTAAGAGCTATGTTCAAACATTCTACATACAATCCTGACCAAGAGTGTTGGGACAATTTGCACTTTTGCCAACATATGGTCTTTCTGTTCACCTCCCCCTCCCCATCCCAAACACAATGTTGATGTTTATTCATCCAAAGTACATTTAGGGAGGCTTGGAAAATTGAATATATAATGACTAATCCGTCATCAGTTGACATTTTGTCAAGTTTCTTTAAGGACTTTTGGCCAGAACTGTAGCTTGAGATAACTTACAGTAGTCATGGTGACACTTTCTAGAGAAATATATAGTGTGTCACGTAGAGTGGCATGGCTTAATTAGGCCATGGCTTAGGTAGAAACATAAAGCTATAGTAAACTGGATAGTTCTTTAGGAAACAGTAAAGGGAACTTGAGGAACAGTAAGCTGGTAATCTACATTTAAGAATGATTATGTAATGAATGAAGTGCATTCAAGGTATGGTTGCCTAGGAATTGTTAGCCTGTGTGGCAAGTGTCCCTGTATAAACAAAGTGCTCACCCTGAAATTCTCTGCTTTGTTGATTTTGTGGTCAGGCCCCAGTTTTCACATGGTCAGAATGTGTACCAAGCTCTGTCTTTGGCCATACAGGAATGCTTGCTACAGTGGCTAAGTATATTGTTGCCACTCTTGTGTTGTAAATCTTTTGAGGATTATCCAGAAAAGCATTTAGTACATTATTTAATATAATAAAGAAATTGAACGTCTTTCACCAGGTGCAAAGATGGTTCAGCCTAGTGAGCTTATAACTGTTAATAGCAGTTCTTGGGAGGAGCAGGTCCACAGTCTTGTTAAAGATGTTTTTGAGCCATGTGGATTCACTGTTGAGTTATTTACCAGGGTTCCATATTTATGTGAGGGTGACTTGTATCGGGACTTTTATGTTCTGGATGATGCTCTGTTTGTGCTCAAGACAACTGAATGAGTCAAGGAAACCTCTTGTTTATTGAAGAAAAGCAAGTGAAATGATTTATATACACAGACACTGCTAATGGTTTAGATGTCCTGGTTGGTGGTTTATAAACAATGATTCAACAATGAAAAGATCTACATTCAAGAACTGTCTTCATCCACAAAACACTTTAGCTAGCTACAGCATATGGAGAGGTTTTAAATAGTAATCTGGTTGCTTTCTTTTCAGACTTGTAGCTTAACATATTATCAGCAATGAAAATGACATGAAGCAGAACAGATGGGGATTCTATATTGTATTAAGGATATATTGTATTTTTCTGAACACAGTTTTTGATACCTGTGTTTCATTCACCTTTTTCTCTAAAACCCTTGATCTCTCGGTCGCCAAAAATGGGAGCAAGCAAGTTAACAACACAAACATTGGTTTTTTGATGGTTAAGCTGACGTATGTGCTGTTGTCATGGCAACACGAATAAAAATAAACAGGCCTTTAAAATCGGTTTTGTTTATTTGTAGAAAATCTGGTCACTAGATTTTCTTTATAATTTGCATGCAACAAGCTTGTAACGATTCTCACAAGTCAATACCATTTTGCTAATAATTTAACAGAAAGATCGTTAATTATCCCTTGTTGAAGGTTTACTGGAATATCTAGAGTTTCCTTTGTTAAAGTTCAATTATTTTTCAATACTCCAGTTACTTATTTCCAAAAGTATTTTCGTGCCAAATTTCGTGAAATTCTAATGAGTGGTTCTCCAGAAATAGGCGTATTTCCGAGAGTGCAAATTTTCATTCAATCGCAATTTTTTGACTTACTGCGCGTGCGCTGCATTTAACTGGGTTCTTACAGTAACAAAGAAAAAGCTGAGAAATGCTGGGTTCTTTGCATCTTTACCCTTTCCAACATATATTTGTGATAAAAGACTAAAGCCATCAATACGCTGCGTTCAATTATAGAGAAAAAAGCACAGGTACTGCGGGTGTTGAGTAAATAAAATGATCGCTCTATTGACGGCATGTTTGTTTTTTGCAATGCTTGTGTGCGCGTTGAATTGCATCACCAAAAGCGCGCGCGAAAACTGTGTTCGGCCACCTTAATTTCGGTTCCATACCGCCTCGATACAGTAAAACAAGATGGCGGACTTTCGTTATGCTTATGTTTACAACAGCGCGTTCTCACTTGACATAAGCACGAGAAGAAATTGTTTTGTTCTGCTCGTGCTTGTGCTTATACTTATGTCGTGGGTGTCTTCACTACCGTTATGCTTGTGTTGGTGCTTATGTCGTTAAAACCAGGCTTTATGTTCCCTGATCTATTCTTATTCACACTCTCTTATTGACATGAGTCAGTTACTTCTGGTTATAGTTCCAAATATGCTTTATACACATGTTCTTGTTATCTTTTCGTTGCCATACTGTATTTCAAAAACAATACTGTATAGTG